TTCCTCGTTAAAAATTCTTATCAAGGACCTTACTCGTTAATTTATGTAAACCATAGGGACTAGATTTGCGTTTAACATATTTAATAATAATTAAAAAATAATAATATGAAAATAATTGATATGATTAATAATTATTGTAAATAACTAATAAATAACATTAATGTATAATTAAAATTCATAATACAATTTCCTACAATCCTTTAAACTCCTTGTTAATATATGATCCAAAACTTTTTTATTCGCATTACGGTGGTTTTGGTGGACTTGAGACCTTGAACATGTGTGTTCATCATGCAATTTTCGTACCTGAAACATACTGATACCATCGATGAAGACAACCATTAAACACCAATCACAGTCCGAAGCAGAGTGACACACCACCTTTGTACGATGTTTGGTTGATTTATTAACCTTGATATAAAAGTTTTCATAAACGAATTTTAATCCCAATGCGAACTTCAGTGCTTCATTCGAGTCAAAAGTTTGGAGAACTTTAACATGAGATTTAGGCTAGTAGGAAATGTTTCTCTGTCTAGTTTTGATAACAGGGATTAGGCAAGGTGTTGGGTCGGGCATACCCCAAAAACTATTCCTTACCGGTTGTATTTCTTCAACATTGGAGTTATCGTCTTCGGGTATATTCAAAATTTCTGCAGCAACAGAAACATCTTCAGCCATATCTACCTCCCACAAAGTTTTTGACTGTTCTGGAGACCGGTATAGAGACTGGATCAAGTACGGGTTGGGAGACTATCTCGGATACATGTTCAAATCTTGAACCAAATAACTGTCATAATCAACAATATTTTTGGTTCAAAATATGAATTTCCACCAACACTACCGGGGAAGAAAGTGCTTAGATTTCCACCAACATCACCACTGCCACCACTGGGGAAGAAATTGCTTGGATTTCCACCACTACCATCATCGGGGTAAAAAGTGTGTGGACTGCACCACTACCGTTGGGGAAGAGAGTGCTTAGATTTTCACCGCTAACACCACCGGGGTAAAAAGTGTTTGGACAGCTGGGTAAACTTTGATGGATTACGACACTTGATGGATTTCCACCATAACCAATATCGTCGACCACAAAGAGTGTCAACATTTTCGGTAAACTTTGATAAATGGTGTTATGGAACATTAACATATCGTCGTAATCGCTTAACTGATATAATATTTGTAAGGAATTCGTTTTATAAAATAAAATGAAAGGACTACGTAAACTTAACTTTTTCGTAATATATTTAACCAAACCAGAATGCGTTATTGGCGAAGGCAAACGTAATACGTGTACGGGGGAGCTTAACGGAAGGTACTCTAAGACATCATTTATCTCCTGTAATGAACCGTCATTTCGAAAATACACCAAAACATCATCACTTTGACGTGATTTCATATTTGTGTTTAAGGGTGATGGTTTGTGATGGTAGATTTTTGTAATGGGTAGGATTGTGATGGTTTATTATGTTTAAGAGTTAAGACTATGAAAGTAGAAGATATGAGAATAAAAATGAAAAATAAGGTGTGAAAAATAATCAAAGAGGAGTTTGGTATTTATTATTAAACTTGTTGCACTAAAAGACAAAATAAGATTAAACCCAAAAATAACATGGATCGCCCCGGGGGTAGATCCGGTGAGGTAGGTGGCGATCCCGGCTATCGAAACAAATAGATATTGGTTTCTTAAAGTAGATACATATGAACCCCACCAAATTAATTTTATATTATTTTTTTTTGTACTTTTTGGTCAACTTTCAAAAGGATCGCCCCCATGGTCAAAGCATGCCCCGGGGGCGATCCATATGGTTTTTTTTTGGTAATTCTCGTAAAAAATGGCTATTTCGTTAATAAATCAAATATATTCTGGTCATTTTCATGATTTTTCCTAATGAAAAATAGTTTAAAAATATATTATTATAATAAGTAAAATTGAAAATAATACTACAGTAAAAAAATTATGAAAATAATTAATGGCAAAATGCATAACAATAACAATCTACTTTCATAATTTTTTTTTATTATAGCATTATATTTTCAGTTTTTCTTATAAAACAATGTACTTTCAAACTATTTTTTATTAGGACATTGTACTTTGAGAAATTACCCATTATAGCATTGAGTAATATTTTGATTTAAATTTACCCATTATACCAGGTTTTCATGCCACCTCATTATCCACGTAGGTTGTCCACATGTACTATAATGATAAGACTTTCTTATTACAACATTGTACTTTTAAAATTATTTTATTATAGTATCTATTAGTTCTTATTAAACAATATACTTTTAATTTTAATATTTATATATTTTACATGTTATTTAATAAATATATTAAATGAATTAAAAAAATCTAAATTATTCATTAATATTCCAATATTAATAAAACTAAGAGAAGACAATTTATCTCGTTAATATTTAAAAAAATATGTGTTTTTTGAAAAAAAAAAATAAGAATTGTTTCTTTTTACCAAAAAAATATTATCTTTTAAAGAATATATTATATTTGTTCCAAAACTTTTACTTGACGTATAAATATATTAAATTAATTAGATTTTTTGAATTATTTATTAATATAACAATTTAAAAAAATTGTAGATCATAATTTATTTCGTTAATATTTTAGAAAGAACTTTAAAAGATATGTATTTTTTTAACAACATAAAATAAAAAGTGTTACTTTTTTACAAAAAAATTGCATCTCGAAAATAATGTATCATATTTATTTAAAAAATATTTTACTTTAGAATATTTAATTTGCATGCAACTTAATAAGAAAAAGTCAAAAAAATTAAATGTTTTTTTAAATCATAGCAATGAAAAATGAAAATCACTAATAATAATTTGAAATATGTTTTTATTTTTAATTTAGTTAAGTCATCAAAATGATGTGTCATCTACATCACTTCATTAAAATCATACAAACAAAAAAAGTCAAGAGGTTAACCGGTTTAAAAAGTAACATGTTATCTATTGCTATAATAAGTAGATTTTTTAAAGTGCAATGTTTTAATAAAAAATAATTTGAAAATACATTGTTATAATAAAAAAATAAAATAAAATATTATAATAAAAAAATTATAAAAATAAGTTGTTATTTTATGGGTTTAACCGTAATTAAACACAGGAAAAAAAAAATTAGTCTGTCCATTACGCTGCTGTCTCCATCGCCAACCTTGACCGACCGCTGTTCGGCCGTTCCTCCGGCCTCCGGCCGTCGTTGCTTCGGCCACGAAACACTGACGATCGCCACACGCTCTTCTTCCTCTATCAGGTTATTTTGAAATCCATTTCTTCTACTGCAGTCTCTTCGAGTTCGGTTTCTTCTACTGTAAAATCTTCAAATTTGATAGTTTGATTTCTCCCTAGTTGGTGCTTCGATTTATTTGCTTCAATTTACTCTTTTTTGTTTGATTTGTTTTCCACCAATATTTTGCTTATTTGCTAGAAATTAGAGTGAAAGAAGGGATTCGATTTCTATTTTTTTGATTTCGGGTTTTTGTTGATCTCGGTGAGGCAAAGGATGCTTATGTGCTAGACAACTTGATTTTGATTTTGATTTTGATTTTGTTAAATACTAGATAGAGGTTGCTTAGGATGCTTATTTGCTAGACAACATGATTTTGATTTCTTCATTTATTTCGCAAAAAAATGGAAAGATCTCATGAAAGAAAAGGCTCAACATCCGGGTTCAATAATGCTTGTGTAACTATGGTTTGTGCATTCGAATTTGTGATGATTTTTTGAATGCTTGTGTAATTTGTGCCGTTGAAAAAGGACTTGATAATGTTACAAATGAGAATGTAATGACTCGCTTTCAAAAGACGGAAACTTGTATAAAACAATTGTAAATGTAATTTATTTTTTATTTTTAATGATGTGGTACTTGTTAGGTACATGTCCCCAACCAATGAATTTTTTTCCATGACTGGTTAAGGTATCTATTAATGTCTACAAGTAGGTCTAGAGTAAGTTCCATTAAGATCTTCTAGAATGTACAACATGCAAATTGGACATGGATTACTTAGATGTTGCACTTCTCCGCGGTTTTGGCATAGGAACTATCCACATCCTTGTCTCCCACCACAGTCACTATTGTAAGTAGTGACATCATAGAGTAAATGTCTTGCCTTCATATCCCAACATGGTTTTGTTTTATTAGAATAAACCAAATCAAATCAAACAAACCCAATATATTCGACAACAGGTAAGGTTTGGGACGGGTATACCCTTGCATCAAGAGTCAGAGGTTGTGCCCTAGAAGACCCCGGACTTGCAAAAAAGTTAAATGAATACAATACTATAGGCCACATATTTGCCAAAAAAAAGGAATACTTTGTTTTATTAGAATAATAGCTGCAATTTTGTCATGTGATAAATCTATTATGAAATCAGTCTAGGTAGGATTTCATCTATGTTGGCCCACGGTCCACTATCAAAAGGAATATGTTATTGACATTCTTGCAGAAACTGCTTATGCTTGCGTTCAAAAGACTAGTTCCTAATGGTTCCCAACATCAAGCTTTATCCACGTGGAACATCTTGACAATCCACAAAGATATAAGAGGTAAATGGGAAAACTATGGTATCTCATAGTCACTAGCATAGATATTGCATGCTTAGTGAGTTTGATGAGCCAGGACATGTCTTCTCCATGTACCAGTCATTTGGATGTTGATTTGCATACTGTTAGATTTTTGATGGGCGCTCTTGCAATGGTCTCCTTTACACTTATCGGGGACATACTTGGATTACTAGCATTGAGATGCTAGTCATGCAGGGTGTCCACATGGTTGGAGGTCTACCATAACATATTGTGTTTCAGTTGTAGGGGACTTATTTCATGGAAAAACAAGAAGCAATATATAGCTTTTTAATCTATACCCGAGTTTGAATATCAAGCCATAGCTCAAATCATGTGTGAAGTGACTTTGGTTGTCGTTCAATAGAGTTGGGAGATTCATCAAATGGTTTGATAGGAGATGCATTGTGATAATGAACTTGCCATGCATATCTCCAAGGATCAAAACTTTTATGAATGCACAAAGCGTATTGAAGTTGACTGTCACTTTGTTTGTGAAAAGACTGTGTGCTTCTTGTGGACCTCCAACTATTGAGCTAGTTTGGTTTTACGCTAGAGATTAGGTTGCTAATATTCTTGTAAAACCTATTGGGGGATTTTAGAATTGTCTAATTTGTGACAAACTGTGCAAGTTCAATACTATGCTCCAACTTAAGAACGAGTACTAAAAGAATAGGGCTAATTTTGTTAATTTATAATTATATAATGTAATTCGTCCAACTATGGCATCTTCTATGCCGCCCATGGCCCATCGTCGTACTTAATTTATTCTTCTTTTTCTTAATGATAATATATACATCTTTTGAGATTTATTATTTACATATTTCACCACTAAGAAGCGGTGTGTACTTAATTTCTCTGCCCATGTTTTGTAGTAGTATATAGTTTCTTGTCCATTAAGTTTGAGGATATTCATTGGGTTTTGGAATTTATTTGCATATATGATACCACTGAATTTTATCTGACCACTAAAGTTTAATCGAGGCAAATGCATTTTATGTTCTACAATTGCATATCTTATTATAGCATGATAGAATCTTAGATGGAATATGGTGTAATCTTCACATTACCAATTAAGGTAAGTCTGTCATATTGTACTTTCAAATCTCAAGTTGTAATTTGGGTTATATATGTGAGGTTGATGAAGTTTAATTCTTAATAATTTTCCTGAATATGATTTATGTTATGCAAACGTTATCGCTTTGTTTCTATTTTGGTTGGTTAGATAAGTATATATCTTATTGGTGAACAAATTAAGAATCTTCTTGTTGCTTTTATGATTGTTTCAGTTTATTTGTGAGACTGTTTTGAATATTACATAGTAAACCGCACTTTAACTGAGTTGAACGCCAGGCTCTTGTAAAATCTTTATATTCGGTTGTATTGTCTGTGAAGTTCCATTATCTGGGAGTTTGAGAGAAGATGTGCCGGAAAGGTTTTTGTCCATTGTTAGACCAGAGACACAACTTACGTACTCATGAAGAAAGAAAGGGTAGTGGTCTTTTGGGTTTTGTTTTCTCGATGAGCGTGTAAGTAGGGAAAGGCAGTTGGGTTAGTAGTGTTATAAGGTCAGTTTGCGTGAGTGGGGTATCATTTATTGTAATTTTCTAGCTTAAGCCTTGGAGACACCCAACCTCTCGAACTATTGGTATATCTGAAGTCATTTGATTTCAATCAAGCAATGATTGCAACTTGTTTTTTTTGGTTCAATTGTTCATCAATTGGTATTAGAGCGGTCGGTCCTACGCTATGCCTAGGTTGATGGCAACACAAATGGAGGAGATAGAGGAAAATTTGGGAGAGTTTTAGATGAAGGTCGGTTCTCTCGAAGAAAACATTCATTCCATGATGCAACAATTAGATACGATTTTGCGGTTAGAGGAAGAGTCTGGAAGAAGATCGACGGCTGGAGGTTATGATGAGGCAGGAGGCGGAGAGTGACGGGGCGGAACGAGAGCGCAACAGTGCTTTCTTCGCATGAGGGTCGTAGACCAGAAATGTCTATGTTTGACGGAACAGATCCGGATGGGTAGATTTTACGGGCAGAAAGGTATGACATGTTGAATACGTTGACCAATGAAGAACGTATGGAGGTGTCGGTCATCTCTTTTGACGGAGATGCTTTGCGTTGGTATCAATGGGAGAACAAAATATGTCCGATTGTGCGCTGGGAAGAAACTTAAGGGGCTGTTGCTATCTCAATTTTGTCCGAAGGCAGAGGGAACTCTCTGCGAACAGTTTTTGGCAGTAAAAGAAGCGTGACCGATTACAGGTGATTTTTTTTGTTTCTCTGGCAGCCCTATTGGATGGGATACCCGAGGAAGTATACATGGGCCAATTTGTGAATGGATTACTATGAGAGATTAGGGCAGAGGTGAGGCTGATGGCTCCTGTGGGGCTAAACAAAATGATGGGGGTAGCGCTTATAGTCGAGGAAAGGAACAAGGCGGTCAACCGTGGAAGGAGTTTTAAGACCTTGACCACAACCAACCACTTGTATGAAGGAAATTCAGAGGAGAAAGGGGGATCCCTATGTGCTAATCGGGCAAATCCTACTAGTTCCAAGGCGATTCTAGAATTCAGAAAACTAACTGATAAAGAGTTGCAACAAAAACGTAGCAAGGTCTATGCTATGGTTGTGATGAAAAATATTTCCTTGGGCATCACTGCAAAAGAAAGAGTTGAGTGTAATGGTTCTACAAGAGGCAGGGGAGTGGCCATGAGAGGAAGGAGTAGAAGCCAGTGATGGAAAGGTAGAGTTGGCAAAAATGGATAAAGAACAAAAGATGGAAGTATAGTTAAATTCAGTGGTGTGTTTTTCTACTCCGAAAACAATGAACTTGGAAGGAAGGGTGAATGGGGAAAGGGTGGTGGTGCTGGTTGATGGTGGAGCCTCTCATAACTTCATTTCATTTGGTTTGGTGAAAAGCTTGGGAATAGCGAATACCTACAGAAGCCTATAGCATATTGATCGGGGTTGGAGAAACAATGAAAGTACATGGTCTATGTAAAGGGACAAGAGTTTCCATGAAGGGAATCGAGGTACTTTGAGGATTTCTTACCTCTCAAGTTGGGGAACTCAAACATGATTTTGGGAGTGTAGTGGTTGGCAAATTTAGGAACCATGCATGTAAACTGGCAAACCAAACCATGAAGTTTCAATCGAAAGAAAACAAGTGAAGTTGAAGGGAAATACTTCATTGGAAAGCCTTTGGTACCCTTAAAAGCTGTAATCAAGACTATTAGACAAGAAGGCCTGGTTCTGTTGGTAAAATTGGGACATCTAGATTTGGAACAAGGGAAACAAGGGAATTGTGCAATAGAAATATCAAAGGGTGGTTGAGGAGTTTTTCCGGTGGCCAAAAGGGTTGCCACCTGAAAGGGGCAAGGAACATGGAATTGCATTGAAGGAGGGGGTCGAATCGATCAATGTGACGCCTTATAGATATCCAAAATACCAAAAAGATGAGATTGAGAAATTGGTTAAGGAAATGTTGGAGGGGTGTATCATTAAGCACGGTCAGAGTTTTTTCACAAGCCCGATGTTGTTGGTTAAAAAATACGGGAGTTGGCGTTTTGCTATCGATTATAGGGCTTTAAATAAGGGGACACTGCCAAACAAGTTCCCAATTCCCATTATAGATGAACTTTTGGACGAATTGTGTGGGGCAAAGTGTTTTTCAAAGCTGGAT